CCTTCATTAACGTTTGATTTGTTGATATTGACCAAGTTTGACCCCTGAATATCGTAAGTCATGAACTGATTTCCTCGACTTGTCAAATACAATAAATTGTTGTTGTCATCGTAGAACATCGAGAGTGGTGACGGTTGGTTATCCACAAGAGCCTTTCCAACAATCCCTTGTTTTCTTTGGTCAAACATATTAACGACTCTGTCTCCCTTTTTAGAGAATCCAGACACTGCAAAGTAGTCTGTTCCATCTATAAATTTGGCTTTAAGTCCTTTCACGGTTTCGGAGACAACAAAAGAAGTTATTGGTTCTGGTGCTATTCTAGGGTCATACAATCGATACATCAAGTCTTTCGAAACAGTCATCAACGTGTCTCCATAACAGCCTTCCCATTCTAACGCCAAAATATCGGAATCGATTGGTGTGGTAACAATAGTTGGTTGGTCCGAATGATTCAAATCAAACACTCTGACAACGCCATCCCCACTTGCCGTTGAAATGATGTTGTCGACACATGGATGGAATGCCAAATTGTTGATTCTTTTCTCGTGTGTGATTATCGAGTTTGCCTCGAACAAATCTTCAGTGAGTCCGTCAGGGGGGATGTTCCATATTTTGACCAATCCGTCCTTTGCTCCGGTCGCCAACATTCTTTCATGAAAAGGTGAAAATTGGTAACTCGTCAATTGACTGTCGTGTGCATGAAGCAAAAATGGTTTGTCTGATATTCTGTCAGCTTTGTTTAATAACCCAACATACAACACACCATTCCCAGTCATTTTCCATGGAACTGCATAAAACAATGGAGAGACTTGAACTAATGGGTCAACCGTCATATTGGCATTGATGTTTCTTACATAAGTACTTGGAGACCAAGTCTCCATAAAAATATTTCTAAATTTGCTATTCGAAGCGGCCTGTGCGTTGGCCGTCAATGAAAGTGTTCTCCTTGACATGCTCATCTTTTTGGAAGTTATTTTCAGTTCTCGTTCTTTTTCAATAGTTTTCTATTTCGAGAGTTTGAGCTTATTTTTTATAGATCATGTATCCATGTTTTGAGTTCTCCTGAAATTGGAAATAAGAAGCACATCTTTTTTTGTATGATTTTGGGTATTTTCGTTTGTTTTTTCTCTTTCAATAAAACATATTTATAACAGTCAAAAACGGGGGATTTGAAGTTTCAATTCAAAAGAAATTGAATTAATTTAGAACGTTATTTTTATTCAGAAAGACGATGGTTTTGTGTTACTAATAAATTTCAATTATATTACAATAATATAGTAAAATTATAGTAAAAATACAATAAATGTATTGAAATAAAAACTTCATATTTTCAAAAGTTCATTCGTAAATTTTTAACTTGTTTAAACTGTGATAAAAAACGTTTGTTTCATTAAACATTTTTGAATCAAAAATTGAATTGAGAACGCAAAATTCGATAAAAAGCAATTTACTCGTGGTCAAAGAAATGGGCAAGAAACAAAAAAACAAAACATATAAATTTGCCTAAAAAACGTTTAAAAAGCAACACAATACACAACAAAAGCAACCATCGTTTAAGTTAAAAATATAAAGCAAATAATCAAAAGTAAATTTGACAAATTCAATTCTCTCAAGACACAGTGCGGCATCACGACGCTAAGCCTCACTACTTCGAGTAAAACTTGACATACTTCTTTATAGCAGCATGACCCTCTTTTCTCAGTTTCGATATTTTCTTCTCGATGTCGCTGGTGAGGGTTTCTGGTCGCTTTTGTTCATATGACAGCGACAACTCAAACAACTGATCCTGATCATCCAGAATAGGTGGTTTGTCGTAGTATTTCACAAACTCGTCCAATTTTTTAAAGTTATAAAACGACGACTGTTTCACCATGATCTCTTTGATCAAATTTCCGATGCCTCTCACTTTGAACCAATTGATCAAAGACTTTGCCTCATCTCCCTTTTTATTCCCATCATCAGTGAACACTAAGTCGCCCATTGTACTCCCCAAAAATGGAATTGATGGTGGTGTAGCCACCTTCATTGCTTCCCGTAGTTTGCTGAAGTTCTTCTCTTGATCACAAAGTGACTCCAACCCCTTTTCCACTTGAATGTCATCATTTGTCAAACAGTCCCAAGTATCTTTAAGCCTGAAAATGGGCGAAGACTGAATAGCAGAGACAACTGCCTTCATCCCTTCAAAGTTCTTAATCTTCCTCATTTCATCCGCCGCATGTATAAAGAAGTGTAAGAAAATCACTCTTTTTATTGGGTCGTTGTCGATTAAAATTGATGTTTGCACAAAGTGGAACAACTTCTGTGTTGACCTGACAAGTCGCATGATATTTGGTGTGAGTGTTTCTTTGTCTTTCTTCATCCACCCATTCCCAAGAAATTCAAAGTATGGAATTTGTTTGAACATTTCGCTCTGAAGTAATGTGATTTGTCGTGCAAATTCCGCAGGGTGGAATTGGAGGACATTCACAAATTTAGAATTCGATTCGAGCACAACAGGGTCGGTTAAATCTCCACTTGGCTCATTAGTGGTGTCCACATGTGCAATTCTATGCTCCAATTGCCGCGTCATAGCTGCTCCAAGTTTTGCATTAAATCTGTTGAACCGGTCCAGAAATTGTTGGAGTTTGTCGATGAGTTCATCCTTCGCTTCAAAGTCCTTCCACGCGTTTTTCATCCAAATTCTGATAAAGTTCATGATTTTCAGCCTCAGCGGCGACAGTATTTCCTTCACAAATTGAGCGAATTGCATTCCTTCAGGTACATTCGGGTCAAATAAGACGCCAAGCAATTCCAATAATTTGTCTGGTGTTGTCACCAAACGATACGCCAAAACAAAACACTCTTGGAAGTAATTGTCGTTGAAGTCTTTAGACATCATAACTTGCACACACTTCTCAAGTGTCGCCATTTGAATGATTTTGAAGTCACACCCCGACTCCGTTGTGTAAGTGATGT